ACAACTACAAAAATTCACGAAAAACGTCACAAACGTCAAAGGACAACCCTTTATGAATCTAACAAGATAATTAAAACCAAATCACCATCATCAACGTCTAAAATTAACGATAAACATGATAGAGACGAAAAAACTGACCTTTACGAGTCTAACGAGATGATTAAAACCAAATCACCATCATCAACGTCTAAAATTAACGATAAACGTGACAAATATGAAAAGACAACCCTTTATGATTCTAACGAGATGATTAAAGCCAAATCACTCTCGTCAACATATAACAATAAGAATAAACGTTATAGAGACGAAAAACAAATTTTTACGAGTTTAACAAAAGGACGAAAACAAAATCACTATAATCGTCGTCTAAAACTAACGATAAATATGAGAAGACAAAATTTTATGAATCAAACAATCAGATTAAAACCAAATCACCTTCATCAACGTTTAACAATAACGGTAAACGTGATAAAAGACGAAAAACAAACATTTGTGAGTCTAACAAAAGGATTAAAACAAATCATCGTTATCAACATCTAACAATTATGATAAACGTAATAGAGGCAAAAAGACCGACCTTTATGTCTTTAACGAAAGGATTAAAATCGAACAATCATCATCGACGTCTAAAATTAACGATAGACGTGATAAATATGAAAAGACAAACTTCTATGAGTCTTGATGTTGCATGACGAAACTTTCGACTTTAATCATTGCCGTGGCGAAAGTGCTGACTAAATTAGTTTCTCACCAAGAGGCATTTTGACGATTTGACGAAAGTAAAAATTGATGACGAAAGTAAAAATAATTGACGAAAGTAAAAATAGTTGACGAAAGTAAAAATAGTTGACGAAAATAAAAAATCAATTCTTTTGTTTTGCAACTAGAGTAACGAATGTTTACTTACTATTTATAGTTACCACCACCATCACCATATAATCATAAAAAAGAAATTTACATTCTCTCTAATTACTGACATTTAATTTTGAATATATTGAAAATTCATTATTACAATACATTGTTAAAATTAAATTTTTTTTTAATTTTTTTTTGATATTGGGTATTTAAATTATATTAAAAAATTACTGAATTTTATATATGCACATAATAATATGATATAAAATAAATCATAAAGAATAAAAAATAATGTAAAAATAAACAGATAAATTTAACAAAACTCACATTCGTTAATTCTTTTTTTTTTGTATTATTAAATGTTTTACTGCTACTTTTTTTTTTATCTTTTTTTTTTTTTTTTTGGCTCACTTCATACATTAAAACAACATAATTTACATAGAAGAAATGTTTACAATGAAGTTGTAAAAAATAAAAAAACAAAAATATGAATAATTATAGTTAAAAATTTAATAAAAAATTTTTTTTTGTTTTGCAAAGATTTTTACTTTTCGCCAAGGGTTTTTACTTTCGCCAAGGATTTAGTCTTTCATCATGGGTTTAGTCTTTCGTCATTTTTTATTACATTTGACGAAATAGTTTCTCAACTCATTTTATAGTAATCCATAAATAGTATATACATTTTCTAATTTTGTACAACAAACTTTTTTTATATTCTAAAATTGGTTAATTCTCATACAACAAATAAAAAACCCCCGATCACTGATTTTATATTTGCCCGAGGTTTTCACTACAGTTTTTTGGATATATAGTCCCTGTTTCGTATTTTTCTTTTTATGATTATAAAGTTATAAATGATAAATATAAATTGTTAAATTATATGACCCCTCTGTTTGGGG